TTCGAGCGTTGAATGGCTGTGCTTTGAAGGTCTCCCCTTCGTGGTGGATTTTAGTAATTTTCCGGCGCACGCCGTTTGGGCCGTCCACGAAGATCAGCCCGGAGGTGGGATCCCACATCATCGACGACGCGTCATGCAGCATCGCGAGCATCGAAGGCCCATCTTGATACCCTTCCACCCCACTAAAACCGACAATCGTTCGCACCAAACGTGTGGTAAAATTCGCGCATCGTATTGCATGATTTCCACTATCACTAATAAAAAGCACCTCCCCACATCTTTGAGAAGAAGAATTTGTACAACCCGTGTCTTGATCGACGTTATTTGCTGCCATTTCATCGATCTTCCAGCACAACGCCTTTGGCTGGTTAAACCGCGCGATGCTGAAATGACCATCCAGAAACCCTTTTGCACCCCCGAGAAGCGGCATTGCTGATGTTTCGGAAGCCCCTGAAAAAGAAGATTCGTCGCTCTGCGCGTGGAGCGACTTTTTTTCTGAGAAAAACTCCTCCGCGGAGAGTATGTTAACAGAGAACTCCGGAAGCTTCACCGCGAGCGCCCACACTGCGTGTCGATCGACATCGCTCACAAGAAAGCGATGGGAGCAGCGGGAGGAATATACCACCCCCAGACGCGCATCTTCTTCGTTCCCCTCCTCTTCCTTTTCAGATTCGCTTCCTTTCAAGACGAACTCCACGCAACTCGCATCGCTTCCTGATATTTGACAGAATTCAACATCCCCTCGCGGCGACGATAACGACGTCCGCGATTTCGATTCTGAAGAAGAGGCTGTTGAAGACGCGGGATGCGCATTTTTATTCAATCCTGCGTGTTTTACGGCAGAAATGGATTCATTCTCAGGAATTACTTCGCTTCGATTGCTCGATGCATCGCTATCTTGCTTCTCTTTTTCCCTTTCGCTACCCTCAGAGAACTCCATGCAGGGTGAGATTAACCATACCCCGCTCCGAAGCGACTCAGGGAAAGACTCTTTTTGACGATCCTTCGCAGGCTTTCCATTTTCAGCCCTTTTCAGATGATTTTTTCCCAATTTTACGGCGACTTTACGCGCTGTTTCTCCCCGACAAAGCTCTGCTATCAGCTGGGTGTTTCGCACAACGGTACGCCGCGTGTAATCACGCACGCATCCCGCAAAGGAGCGAAAGGGAAGTCCTTGCACGGGGTGGAAACAGTCTACCTCCGGGGGTACACTTTCTCCCTGTAGACTCGTTATACCCTCCTCGACGTTTGCTTTCTTTTCTTCCTTACCTAACGCAATCCGAGCGGCAATCATTTCACCCATGAAAGGCTGCGCTCCATCCTCTACGGCGGCCTGAGGACTAATAGGCTGTTCCACACCTTGCGAACCCGGTGCATTTGTGAAAGAAAAAAGCCAATGGGAGCTGTCCACCATTACAACGACCATCTTCATGTGAGATTGATCATTTTTCCCGCTACTATTTTCATTTGAATTGCTCCTAGAAAGACTAAATGCATCACTGCGGTACTTAAGCAGGGCATCTACAAGAGAGAAAACATCTTTTCCAAGAACAACCGTGTTCATGTCAGACGGGCGAACCACAACCCCCAGCGAAGCTCCTGGAATCGCGAAAGTGGCTCTATTTTTTTTTTTGACAATTAAGGCAGTTAAAGAAAAAAAAATCGACAAGTTTAGGATTTCTAAGGGTAATAATAAAATATCTACTGAGAAAAAGGATTCTATTGGTGCTTTCAATACCGCTTTGGTATACTAGAAATGCTAAAAAAAAAAGCTAAGAAACCGAATCCTAAAACACCATTCTAAGAGAAAAATATCACAATTGAGGGAGGGGGACTAGAAATAAGAAAAAGAGGGACACAATGGCGCCCGCTAGTCCACACCCTACCAGCTACATAAGGAAATACAATACTTCATTGCCCTTGAACTACATCCATTTTTTCCCAACCCCAAAGCCGTTCGCTTGGTTAGGGGTTTTATGGGATTTTTTTTCCTCTATTCAAGAAGTCCACTACCGACTCCTTGTTTCTGTTTTTGTCTCTATTTCATCATCAGCATAGCCTATTTATCCATACATCATGCCCCCCAGACGCAGTCCATCAGTGTTATTGCGAAAAGTGAGGTTATTGTCGCATTGCACGGCACAATAATCCCCCGCGCGGCGTAATAGCCCCCCTGACCAAGGTCCTAGCCGTCGTTGCCGTTCATCTGGAGCGAATCCCGGAAGTCCAGCGCATCCCCGTTCGCCGATCCATCCTCGTCGGGGTCGGCTCCCTGGGAACTGAAGAGTTGGATGGCCGCGGCCGCCTCGGCGACGTCGGGGTCCGCATCCCGGCGGAGCGTCTCGGCGGTGGCGTCGTGGAAGGCCCG